AAACTAGAAACTAAAATACCTGACTTCAAATCACTTTCACACGATACTTTAACTATCTTCTTATGAATTCTTCTGATTATTTCATTAACTGTCAATTCTCGCAATGCTTTGTATTAAGAACCAAATTAATATCAATGGATGAATGAATGAATGAGAACTGTAACGTTTTGTAATGTTTTGCACGTACTAATTAGTTGAATTAGTACTTAAATTTAGACTAATAGCTTTTGCAATACTGTAATTCCTTTCTGGTCATGCAAATAAAGCATTTGGTGTTGTTGTGTTGTTGGAGGAGTTATTTTAACTTCAAAAAGGAGTTAAAAGAACTCTTTTAGAGGAGTAAAATTCACCCCAGATATTGAGGGGTTGAAATAACCCCAAAAAAGGAGTTATCCTGTACCTGGAACTTTTACTTCACTTTCGGGGTTAAAGTAACTCCAAAAAGATTAAAAACAACCCATTTAAGGGGTAAAATTAACCCCATTTTCGGAGTTAAAAGAACTCTTTTTCAGGAGTAAAAATGACCCCAAATTTGGAGCTAAAATAGGAGTTAAAGTGACCCCATAAAAGGGGTTATCCTCTACCTAAAATTACTGTGTGCTGGACACTTAATTTTATCAAGGACGAAATGTTGGCAAGGAGTATCCTTGGCCACAGGGTGTGACCCGACACGCAGTAACAATTCCTGCATTACGTAGTTATAGGCTTGCAGTAATAATAATGATAATAATGAAAATAATAATATTAATAATAATAATAATAATAATAGTTAACAATTATTCTTTGCAATCGAGGTGAATAGTGGCAAAATATTTACCGAGCCACGAAGTGGTGAGGTAAATATTTCTAAAGCCACCATTCACCGAGATTGAAAAGAATAATTGTACGAAGTGATCTCAACAAAATCAGAGAAGAAACCATTAAAAAGTACGATTTGATTGACAGATCTGGTCAGCTAGACACGCGACAGTTTAAAAATAAATCTTTGTGGAATTTTAAAACATGGCAATACATAAGCTTATCACTTCGCACACAACAGCGTAATGACTTCAATAGAACCGCTAAAAGTTTGAATTGTTTCCTTACCTGTGAAGAAAAGAAGAGCTTTGTTGTTTTCTGTTGACTCGCTAAGTTTATAGCCAAAAAGGTTTGTTGTGTCGTTCTTCGCATGAAGTGCTGACAAAAATGGCGATTCGGTTCCTCGAGGTAAGACGTCATTTTCATGTAGCATTCTTTCTCGTGTTTACTTGAAACGTAGAATTTCTGCAAACATTTGCTTTCAAATTTGTTTGTCATAAATAAACTTCGTTGTTGGGCCAAATTTTTCTTGTTAGGAAACTCTGAGTTCACAAAACGGCCTCTTCTAGGAGAATAAACGGGAGTTGTAAACAATCCATCGACCATAAACTCAACAACAGTAATTGGAAAAACGCCGTTTTGAATCCTTTGAAGTCCTTTCTTGCCTGAAAAAAGTCAACCCTAGGATTTTGTCGAATTTTAAAAGATCTTTCTCTAAGAAAATGGGAAATAAACGAGCTCACACGTTATCCACTCGCTAAGAGGTGAATATTGTTGAATAGCTCGAGATAGCGAACCAATCAGATTGCTTAAATCATCAAGATCACTGAGTGTGTATATACTAATGACAATTATAACATACTAGACCAACAATATCAAACCCTCGTATTCAATCAGTGCTGTATATGGTTATCTGGAATTCAATTAAAAGTTATTAAGTATGTTGCTTGTTTAAAAAACTTTGTTAGGAAAAAGTGGGCTAGAATAGCATTTATAACATTTGGAACTGTGGCTAAACTTGAATTCAACTGGGGAGAGGCAAAGGTGGACACACCGGAAAAAACCACTGAAGCTATCAGGAAAGTAAAGTACATGGGAGGAGCTACTGCTTCAGCCATTGCATTGCGTAAAGTCAGAACGGAGGTTGTACCATTCGCCCGTGATGACAGCAAGAGGGTGTTGGTTTTTATCACTGACGGCTTTGCTAACATCGGCGGGCCCCCTGAAAAAGAAGCAGATTTTCTCAAAAGCAAGGAAAGATTCGAAATTTTCGCTGTGGGTATGTTCCAAAGGCTATTTAACTCTTTATTTAACACCCACACCTACTGTACGCTGTCTTTATCACTTCCAAAAGGTCTCTCCCCGTCCCTTCCTCCTGCCCTATTTCCCCTCTCTCTTTCTCTCCCTCTCTGAATATTTTGAGTTAAATATTTGAATAAACACATAAAACATCAATAAATAATGACGTCCAGGAAGAAGTTTTTTTTTCAGCGTTTTCGTCTTAAGTCGCGCAACGGTAAGCATTTAGCTGAACAAGTTTAAATAGTTTTTAATTTTTAATCATTATATTGGTAAGGTCGATAAGCAAGACCATTTAAACTAAAGCTGGCGCTTAAGCTTCTAATTTGTCAATGATTTTATTATATCCTAAAGGAGTGGGAGAAAAAGTACGCAGGGATCAGCTGTATGCGATTGCGTCACATAAGGAGAAGAACGTGATCGCCGTTAAGGATTATGAAACTCTTCAGGATGCCATGAGGGAGGCAGTAGGTAGGAAGTTGGAAATACACCTGCAGTGTTGATATCCTTGATAATTGCTATATACTTGCCAGAAGGAGCTCATTTAAGAAAACAATAACAATCAAAACTACAGTATATTGCCCATTTTCCCACCGGCAGTCCTAGTTTTCGGACCAGAACAACACCAACCAAAAAAGGCTGCCTTATTGTGGTTGTTGTAGTTATTTTTTTTCTTCTGAAGTGAATTGAATTATCAGTGAACGCAACAGGACGGTAGAGGAAAGAAGACGGCAAACTATGCGATAATTTTGTTTGAAATTACCTTTCGCCAAACTTCACTTACCTTTAAAAAGATCTTTTTGTAAAAGACCAGAAAACATTAATGTTAAGTGAAGATCACGTCGAAACACGCAAGTAATAGCTGTGTCACGTTTGTCACTCACAAGCGTGTCGTGTCCTCTTCTTTCTGCCGTCCTGTTCTGTAAACACACTATTCTGAGAGGAAAACGAAGCGGTATACGAGATCATGTCCAGAAATTCATCCAACAACGAATATGACAAATTTGGCGAAAATTCGCCGAACGGCTGGCGAGAGTTCACTGAATGACATAGCAAAAGAAGCCCCTTGAAAAGTGGCAATTTTACAAAAAAAGTGAACGTGTCTGAAAATGGCGAATATAGCGTAAACTAACCAATTCAACGAATTAAAAGAAAATGGGGACGTTTGTTTTAGTGAAAATTCAGTTGAGATAGGGATGGCTCCTTGGAATGCGGATAGTTTCAAACGGCTAAATGAGAAAACGTAACAATTGCGAAATCATGGAATAAGTGTATAGAAGTGTGTATTTGTGAAATGTGTAATCCACAGTTGCTAAATACGGCCTAAGTCAGTCTTTTTTTTCAATTTCTTGTTTGACTTCAGTCTCTAACGACACTTACACAACAAAAGTTACTTTTAAAATAAACTAAAAAAACTACACTGACTATACCTTACAATAGATCACAGTATTTTACATTACAGTCCCTGCTACAAAAGTACAATAAAAAGGTAGTCTAATTTTGAGTATACCATAACTAGTTGAATTAATATTTTTAGTAAACGATATGATCAAATATGTGAATTTCTTTTTGTTTACATATTTCGAATACATAAGTAAGTGTTAAACACCGTTCCAAGTTTAGAGTCGAAATTGGCCTTGGAAGTGTGTTTATTTGAACTGTAATTTTCGAAAATGTTTTTCCACCATTACTCGATTCAAAAAACGATCGGGGGACACTTCACATGCACGGTGAGAGTTTCGGAAGCGTTTTGAGGTTCGTTGTTTGCTTTAACGACTTAATGCGAAAGTATGCCTGGCCGACGTTGTGTTGTTCAAGGCTGTAGAAACGAAACTTTGTGTTTCATGCTTTACCACACTCATTTTCTCTCTGCTGACTTGTGACATACCATTGATGTCATGCGTGCATTTATTTGAAACTTTTTGGATAACAAAACATGTCTTTTTGTTAACCTTACATCATTTCTGACAGCCTTCATCGTTGTCCTCATTATAAAGTGATTCACCTATGACAATTAACCATTAGTGTTAGGGGCTGTCGACATATTCACTTTTCCCCCGCTTAACGTCAACTGGACGTTTAGGGGGGAGGGGGTAAGGCAGTGGACGTTAGTGCGGGGCATTTTTGGACAAAATCAAACTGATGCATTTTCATAAATTATACGTCATGTGTGGAACGGCGCTCGTGACATAATTAAAGAGAAAGCAGGACCAATTAAAGAAGTGAGTGTAAATTGTGATCTTTTAAACTCTGCTCTTAACTACTAACAAATTGTACACTTTACGTTGTGATCTTTTAAACTCTGTCCTAAATCGCTAATATTTTTTACAATACCGAAAATTATAGTTAGTTACGTTTGTGAACACAACTAGAATATTTTTTCGATCAACCTTTGAATGTCAGCGTTCTTTTTTTGAGAATCCGTTCATAGCCTAATGGAACAAAATCCCAGGCAATCATTTTCACTTCAATCTAACAACAATTGACAATACTTTAACTTAAACTGAATAAAGTATAAATCCGATAACTTTTGTAATGCGTAACAGTGTAGCTTAACAGCAGAAGTGGCAAACCCAGCTAATTTACTCTAATTCTTCCTCACTTGGCAGGTCGTGCGTAGTTGGTACGCAATTATAATGATACCATGTCTGATAAGTGTCACACGAAATCCATGAGACAATTTCTTTGTCATCTTCTTCTCTTCCCTGGCAAACACCACATCTATCTTCATCAGTAAAACTCTCGTTGTCAGTGCTACCTGACTCAGACACTGACTTTTCGTCACGCGTATCATCATCATCATCATCATCATCATCATCGCAATTTTCCCGCTACAGATGTGGATACCGACCCAGAAAGGACTGCAAAGAAGGTTGACTCCTTGGTTTTTTGTTAGCGGGCCCTGCTAGTTTTTGCTTGGCGTCCCTCTTTCTATGGCGGGCTTCTCTCTGATGTTTAGCAAGCTTCCTTTTTGAAGTGAATGTCATTCCGCATTCTCTTGGTCCACCTGAGGCATTTGCAGAGGTTTGATACTTACAAACGTGTTGTGCACGTGTGTTCGCTGTACGTCGGCGTCCCTTTCCCTCCTTTTGTTTCCGATGAAACAAAGAGATATGCTGTTGTTTTTCAGTTTTAGAACTGAAACTGTAACTTGGACAGAGATGACACTTCCCGAGTTGCTGTTCAGCATTCATTTCGGACGGGAGACATACGTTTCCCACATGCATGTGCACGTGTTCTGCTGATTTCTTGCACATCTCTAGAAACGTGTAATAATGGCCAGGATGTTGATCGCTCTCCATGGGGTTGAATAGGAGCTTTTTGTTTCCTTTTAGAAATTTAAAGAGCTTCTTTGCTCTGACAGGATGTAAAGTACAGTGGCCACATGAACCATCGCTACATTTCATAAACACAAGCTCGTTCTTCTTTCTGTCCACATGCTTTAGGAGAAACTCTAACTCTTTTAGAGACTCTTTGTTGTCTCGAAGTTGACGAATCGGTTTCTTTAGAAGACTTGCTATTTCATCGTGATCTTTGTAATGAAAGTTTCCTTCTGTTTGAATGTAAGGAACTCCAACTGCTTTCACAGGATGACCATTATAAGTCACATCCTTCCAGTATGTTTCACAAACTTCTTTAATAGCCTCATCAAACACAATTGCCTCCTTCTGCTTCCGCTCGTCACTCTTAAACGCCATATTACAAGGCGCCTTGGTATCACCGTGGGCAACAGCTGACAGCCTCACTGAAGAGAGTTTCTTCGTTAAAGGACTCCAAAGATGCTCGATTGGATTATAGGCAGAGTAGTGAGCAGCATAACTACAAATCAAGAGCATGTCGAGATTTAGGTCTCTCCACAGTCTCATATCAAACAGTGCATTCAAGACCAATGACGGATTCCAATCAGGACCGTTGTCAGCGACGATAATTGCTGCCGTCTTTCCCTTCTCCACACTTGTCTCCAGAATTGGCCACATATCATTCATGTGACTTTGAAATGTCGAACTGTAAAAGGTACTTGTTCTCAGATTGACAACTGCTGGACCAGTATGTGGAACCTTCAAGTGCACTCTTCCGACCTTGTCGTGTTGGACGCTCATTTTGTCAATGCCTTCAGATGGTATAATTGTGAACGGGCTCTGCCCTCGTTCTTCAACAACAGTTGTTGAGTCTGGAACTAGATCAGGTTGATTATTGTCGGTTTCTCTGTCATTACCCATCTGTTCATCGTCCTCTGCTTCAGATGCGTCGCTACAAGAGTCTTCGTTTCCAGCTATTTCCTCGAATTCGTCTTCGGAACCTTCAGCAGGGGAATGACAAAGGCGCATGTATCCTGAGGGAATTATCAAGTAGCCAGGGTGAGGAAAATCGTGATCTGGATAGTTTGGTGAATCATCCCTTAAGAAAAAGTTGCTGATTTGATGGTATCTGCTTACTGCATTAGGGCCAACCTTGATTTTGTTCATATCATCGACACTTAATGTCTCAATCTCATCTGAGAAGACAACGCCCATTTCTCGTCGATAAGCGACTCGACTGAAAAGAAGGTGTGCGTCGGGATGATCCTCGCGATACTGGTTCTTCTTTGCCGGAACTCTCGCGTCTACAAGTCCTTTATATCTTCCCGCTCGCTTCGTTCCTTTACGAGGTGGTGCCATCATTAGGTGGATGGTGTCCCTGCTGATGCCATGCTCGGCCAAGCCCTCCACTGTCGATAGCAAATGCTGCTTGATTTGCCCCAATGTTACACCTTGACCAGTACCAGTGGTTGTTCGTCTACGGTTATGTGCTGCATAACCATGCTGTTTCAAGAAGTCTGTCATTCGACCAACAATTTCTGGAAACTTCGATACAACTGACGGCTGGCCTCTCTTCTTTTGTCTTCGTTCTTTAACTGATTCAAGAACGGGTTGCCGCTGCTGTTCTTCTTGTTTCCTATCATTGCAATCGGCAACTTCTCTTTGCTTCTCCTCAAATAAAGCACTCAAGGTCTCGGGCTGTAAAATTAACTCATGAATGTTGATCAAGGCAGATTGTTCCCCTTTTTTATAAGCGAGCATAACAGGGAATTTTTCTAGAACTATGTCTAGAAACACATCAAGTTGATCATCATAGGGGAAATTTAAGGAGATTGCCAACTCTTGAACTACTATTGCCGGACTTTCCGCAAGAAGAACTCCAACATCCTTGAAAACGGTGTAGGGGAACGGAAGTTTTTCACCGGAATTTTCCTGTTCATTTAAAGCATCCCATTTCCCACGTTAACTCACAGCCGTTTAAGCACTCAAACATAATCATATGTGTAACTTTTCTACGCACACTTGACACTATTGCTTGCTGCTGATTAATGCGCCGTCGAAGTGATCGCAGGAGATCTGGGTCAGCAATTTTCCTTCTTAGCTTTACACAACCGGCAGCGAATTCTCCAAGTAATTTCTGTTTCGTGGCCACAGACACACTGAGGACCGACAGTCCAAGATTCGTATCTATTTCAATTCCACTTGTAGTGTTCAGAATCCTCTGGATGTCCTTTAGGTCATCATCGATTTCTTTCAGATTTTCATTTAACTTAGATTTCCTACCTTCTCTTTTTATGTTGCCTTTGTAGGCATCCACAAGTTGTTTGTACAAAAAATAATCAATCGCACATTGCGAAGTGCAATGCAGAAATGACGTGTTGCCTAAAACATCCTCTGTCATAATTTCTGGACACAATCCCAGCAAGAACTTGCGAGAAGCGTCTTTCATATAGACTTCATGGTACGCCTTTGCGCTTGCAACAGAAGCAGTAGAATCACCTGACATGGACGTCGACGTTACGCCTTTTGACTTGTCTATCGCACTTCGAGCTGGCTCTTTCAGTACAGAACTTGTACTTGCCTCTTTTTCAACACTGGATTTGTCAACTTTCTGACCTAAACGTCCAGTTGACGTTAAGCGGGGGAAAAGTGAATACGTCGACGGCCCCTTATCATTGTAGCCAAGTTCATTGTTACTTGAGTTGAGTGTGTGCTGTTTGTTGTGAACGAATTCAAAGTTATTCTTTTTTTTTGCCAATCAAACCTTGTGTTCGGGTGAAAGATGTTCCTTTTCCTGTTTTGGTGTTCACTTGGATCAAACAGTTTTTAGCCATATTTAAAACTATAAAAATTATTGAACTTTGACCTCTAATTTTTACAGTGCGACTACTGTAACCAGGGCCACCTAGACAAAGTTGACAAATCGGATTACAGGAAAGAAACAATACATTCCAAGATAGTGGGTTGTGGGCAATCAGTAGCTCGTAAAAAAAAAAAAAAAAAAAACAAAAAATAAAAAAAAATTTAAAAGCTCCCACAAAAAAAGCAAAATATTTACCCATTCAATTTTTTTCCTTTCTAATCTTCTCATTTAAACCCCCAAAAAAAAAATAATTTAAAAAAACATCCACTTTTTCCACCTCCCATTATGTGGTTTTTGGGCAATAAGAACTCCGAAAAAAAAAAAAAAAAAAAACAATAAGTTACACAAAATTTACATACTGCCAGCAAGACAGCAAAATGTTTCACCAGTCAATATTTTTCCATTCGAAACTTCTCATATAACACCCAGGAGACATATTTGTTTGACACAAGCTGCTATTTTGTCATCTACCAGTAATTTCTTCGCTACTATTGCCGTACTTTGCTATTAACACGCGAATTCAAGTAAAAAATACGACTAACGTTTACACAGTTTCGCCTCCGTCAACACTCTAAGGGACCTATCGGGACGCATAGACTTTCTTCAGCGGGTTTAAAAGGTCACGGCTGTAGGTTGTAATTGGTTGATTACCATCCATGTTGTTGCTTTTGTTATGTAGTAATTATGATTGACAACTAACTTTCTTGTATTTTTTTCCTGTCATTCAATTGATCAACTTTGCCTGGGTGGCCCCGCTTACAGTAGACGCTCTGTAAGAAAACAGTATAATAAACCTTAATAAAAGTTAATGGTCAAGTTGCTGAGGCATTTCATGATCAAAAGCTTGAAATAATAAGAACTAGGAGATTAGAACCTAACTTGAGGGGAGTAACCAAATTATGTTTCTTTTGGCATTTGAATGTTTAATTCATAAGATCAATATTATGATCGCCTTTGGCTTTGAGTATCAGAAGCATGCCAAAATCTCCATACCTCTCTCACTAAAACAAGCCTAACAAAAGCAATCAAGACAGCACTTCCATGGAGCAAACAGGTGCTTTTGAGGATTACCACTCATGATATGTCAGTTTGCTCCGAAGGTGACGTATGCATTTCCGTGCGTACTGCAGCATGCTTTACAAGAATGGTTCGGGAAACGAGCGATGACTGGGACACAAAAGACCACTGACAATGAGACATGGGTGACGATGAATAATTTAATGGAGGGCATTCTAGCGTAATTCAATAAACTTAGGACGATCTCCCTCGCCATTTCGCGACAGCGCTGATAATATTAGCATGCCTCTAAAACAAAAAAAGAACTGCTATTTCAGTCTCTTGAGGTGAAAGGCGTACAGTATCTTTATTAAATCTCCACTACGTGGCTCTTCCGATTTAATTTACAAAATGGAACAAAGAAAGAAGAAGGAGAAAAAGACTAATTTACAAATCTAATTGTTAATAATAAATAGAAAAATAGGAATAAAATTAAATTAAGAAATAGCTACAATAATATATCGTATATACTATATACATATACGTATACTTATTATTGACTTAGAAATGCTCTAACTATGAGATATAAAAACTGTTTTAGTCATGCAATCAGTCACCTAGTTCTCGGTGTGACATAGCTCCAGTTTTGCAGCGCGTTTAAAGCTAGTGAGCGTTTTGCTATTTCTTGCGCTTTCGCTTAGCGAGTTCCAAGTGTTGATAGACCGATAGTAAAAGGAACGTTGTGCAGTGGCTGTCCTGCACATAGGAACGTCTAGATTTTCCCTGAATCTGGAATTATAACTAT